CAATTCCATGCTCCAAGAAGAGTTTCCAGATACAATGTGATCTCTTGAGAAAAACGGCATTTATGGGAACTTGACTTCTCCCTGTTACAGCCCCCTCAACCCATTAATCTTCAGGGGACTGAAAATACTTTTCTGGAGATCCAAAGAAAATAATCTGTATCTTGCTGCTCTTTGGAGAGGAGCGAAGAGGTTTGGAATGTCCTCCCAGATGGCATTGCAGAGCTGTCATTGAACTCGGTCTCCCCAGAGATGTGGGACACGGCAGCAAATCCACTGAACGTGTGTGCACCCAGCCCTGCGGAAGTGACATTTACGGCGTTCTGTTAACTCAGGTGCAATCAGTGTAACTTCTGAGAGTTGGCAAGACCTTTGAGACCCACCTTTTTGTCGCCAGACTTTGCTGCAATGTTGCAATGGACAGGAAAGACAATGCTCCATTGGAGCTCAATGTGCATCTAGCCCTGTTGTGGGTCAGGAAAGAAAAAGCCCAACAGGAGTCTGCATCAAAGGGAAGGCACTAACTCTCTCTGTAACTCTGCAGTTTTTGGCCAAGCATGGGAATGCTGTGACTAAAGCCACGTACGAAGCTCACATCCCTATTTACTATTACCAGCCGACCTACAATGACTGCCAGTAAGTTGCTGCATCCAGAAGAAAAGGGGGAAGGGCACTTCTGTGTTCCTCTAGTTTGTTTCTGAGCTACCTGTCACCTCTCTCCCCAGAGTGCTGAGAGAACAGTGGATACGGGCCAAATATGAACGCAAAGAGTTCACCGAGCCTGGCAAACAGCTTCCATATTCTGATGGTAAGAGCAGAGCACAGCATCAGAACATCCTGCCTGTTGCCTTCACTGGAAGCTTTTGAGCACCGTGAGGAGACAGCTCATAGTGTCAGTGTTGCAAATCCCACACGTCCTCCTGAGAACCCAGCTGGTACTTGCAGGGGGTTGTTCTGGGCGAGTTTAAATTGTGGTCAGCATAGGTTAGCACTGCCATGGGTTGCTCCCAAGCTTGGTATTACCAGCTGGCATTTTTCAAAGGCATTTGCTGTCTTGGTGGAGCCAGACCTCTGCAGTATGGGATTTCTGTCCTGCTGCATGCCACCCGCTCCGACTACAGCAGATGTCTTTGACACGCCACTGCCAGTGCTGTGACACAAGGCACTGGGGCCCAAGGGCTTGCAGAGTCAAGTGGGAAGAGTTCTGGTCCCGTGCCAGGGTCTGCATGGGCCAGGACTCTGGTGTTGACTGGAGAGAAGGCTCTCACACTGTCAGAGGCAGTAGTGGGATCCGGACTAGGAGATGGGAAGCATCTGGGAGTGTCTTTTGGTGACCATTTATCTGGGCTGCAAACCCAGGAACACCACCATCTTCAGTTGTAAGTCAGAGGTGAGACCTTTCCTTCTCGGGTGTTTGTTCTCAGGTATAGTCCATCACGTGCTTTACCCCAGCGGTGTGGCTGGGACTCCAGGCTGCATGCAGCTCTGATGCCTGGGAGGGAATGCTTTTAAAAGTAGCCTTTTTGCTCCTAGGGCTGAAGGAAGGCATTCTCTGGAAGCGAGGCCGAGACAACGGGCAGTTCCTACCCCGCAAGTTCCTCTTGTCTGAGAGAGAGGGATGTCTGAAGTATTTCACCAAGCAGGATGTGAGTATGGTGGTCATCTCCCACCTCAGCACGTACTCCACCCAGGGCAGTGGGGTCACAGAGACGTTTCTGTTTCCCACGCATGTTTCTGAGGTTGCTTTGCTCATCCCAGGCCAGGGACGATAATAGAAACATGTCACTGAGGAGAGGGGTCCCCTTCCTACTGTCAGAGTGACATTTTCCCCACGTCCTCCCTTTATGCTTCCCTACATCCTTCCCTCGCTGCTGACAAAAGGGCTGATCTTTCAGTTCACCCCTATCCATTTGCCTGGCTGGGTAATCCTGCACCATCCCTGGAAACAGCCTCACCCCACTGTGAGCCAAGTCGGCAAAACCCTGTTGTTTGGTTTGTTTTGAGGAGGGCTACTCTTCTGCTAGTTTGTCTCCCTGAAATGAATGGAGCAAGTGCCAGTACACTGTTACAAGGGAGGGACTTACAAGGGAGGGAATAGCTTGGGGTAGGGAGAAGCAGGAGTGGGGTCTTTTGGGGTCAGTTAGCCTTTAGACTGGCTCAGCAGTGAAGTCAGATGCACTCTTAGTGTCTCGCTGGCAGCTCCACAGTAAGCACAGCTCAAATCTAAATTGGAGGGGCTGGGCCACTCTTTGGGCTTGAGCATGCCACACGGTGAAGGGAGTGTGTGCTACAACAGTTTTGTCAGGAAGGGGCAGTTACTACCTTTTAACACCCTCTGACCCTGCCTTTCCCCACTAAGTCAGCTCAGGTCTCTTTTGCACTAGGAATGCTTATGCATGACCGATGCCATTCTAATTTCAGGCAAAAGAACCCAAAATCAATGTTAAAATAGATGTCATCAATGCTACGTTCCAGCCAGTGAAGATTGGGAACCCCAATGGCCTGCAGATCACCTATCTCAAAGACAACAAGACCCGGAATATATTTGTCTACCATGAAAGTGGAAAGGTATCTTGTTTTAGCATCAAACACTGCAAAGCAATTGAGGTGGTTTGAGAGCTGCTGGTATTAAATAGTTTGAAGCATGGGTAGGGCAGGGCTGTAGGTAACAGGGTGGCATGTGTGGGCTGCTGTAGGTAACAGGGTGGGGGTTCTGGCTCTGTGTCTGTGAGAAGAGTTTTGCTGCAGGGAGCAGGGCAGCAGCACTGGCTGAGTCGGATCGTGTGGGAGGAGCTGCCGTGGCTGTGCAGATTGGCCGCCCGCGCCCCAGCCGTGCTGGCTGCGTGCGTGTGAAGGAGCTGCCGTAGGTGCTGGGCAGGCAGAGCCGGCTGTGTTTGCAGTTAACATAGGGCTGGGTGCAGCTGGGTGAATTTAGATGGCTCACTGTTGCTTCGGCTAAGCTTTCTGTCCTGTCCTTCTCTGTTCTCAGGAGGTAGTGGACTGGTTCAATGCCATTCGCTCTGTGCAGTTCCATTATCTGAAGGTAGCATTTCCCATTGCCAGCGATAATGAGGTAAGGCAGCACGGGAGCACAGTGCTGAGTCTCCCACTGGTACTCGGCTATGCGATAAAAGAGCCCATTAGCTACGATTAGATTCCCAGGTACAGGAGCGGAAATTGCAGTATTTAGACAGAGGGATGAGAAAGGCTGTGTAAAATGGCCTGTGATGGCCAGAGAACAACCACCCTCTGCTGTTTCTGGGCACTTTGGAGATGGAAGTGGCTAGGCAGTTCTGCAAACATGAATTTAAAAGGTGGCTGAATTTGGTGGAATAGAAGGAAGAGTCGGGGGTGAAAGCAAACAGCACAGAAACGTGGCTAAGTGAATGTTACTCCTGCCTTTTTGTCAGATTAAAAATCGACTGACAAGAAACTTCCTGAAAGAGGGATACATGGAGAAGACTGGTCCCAAGGTGAGCTGCCATGGGAGAAAAAGGGCTGCAATGATGATTAGGGGACTGGAGCAACTCTCCTACAAGGAAAGGCTGAGGGAGCTGGGATTGTTTAGCCTGAAGAAGAGAAGGCTGAGACGGGACCTTATAAATGCATATAAATATCTGAAGGGTGGGTGTCAAGAAGATGAGGCCAGATGCTTTTCAGTGGTGCCCAGTGACAGGACAAGGGGCAACGGGCACAAACTGGAGCAGAGGAAGTTCCGGCTGAACATGAGGAAGAACTTCTTCCCTCTGAGGGTGATGGAGCACTGGAACAGGCTGCCCAGGGAGGTTGTGGATTCTCCTTCTCTGGAGATATTCAAGACCCACCTGGACAAGGTCCTGAGCAGCCTGCTGTAGGTGACCCTGCTTCAGCAGGGGGGTTGGACTAGATGACCCACAGAGGTCCCTTCCAACCCCTGCCACGCTGTGTGATTCTGTGTGAAAAAAATCTAACAGGGACCTCAGAGGGAGCCACTGACCCTCCCTACTTCAATGTTTTTCACCTGCTGTTTCCCCATTCCCCCCTAACTCTTTAGACACCTGTGGGTAAAGTGTGTGTGCACCAAGGGAGGGGAGAGTAAAAGGGGAAGGACGCATGTGCAAGTAGATGAAGCCAAAGTCCCTGCTGTCTCCCAGAACAACAGATCTCTCTGCATGTGTCTGTGTGTGCGTGACCTTACAGGTATTTAGCGTCTAGATTTCTGCTGTCTCAACTCTGGGGTCCTTCACAGAAGCCCAAGTATTGGGGACAGCAGTTGGGACTGAAAAACCCGATACTGATCCCCACTCTCAGCTCAGAAGGGGAGAGGAGGAGGTTGCTGTTAAGGCAGGGGCTTGGTTCGAGTAGTTGGGATGAATGTTGGGTATCCCTTCGCACTGCTCGCGGCAGAGGGCACTGTCCCCTTACACATGGCACCTCTTCCCTTCGCAGCAGAGAGAGGCGTTTAAGAAGCGCTGGTTCACGCTGGATCACCGCAGGCTCATGTACTTCAAGGATCCTTTGGTGAGGTGGAGACCTGACCTCTGGCAGCTGCGGGCAGGGTCAGAGTGCAGCCAGAGGCTTTGCTTTGCAGTGAGGGAGGCTTGCAGGTTCCTCAGCTGCTCTGAATGGACTCTAGGTCTTCCCCTTTCCATCCCACTTAGTTCATCCCATGCTTTCTGTGTTTGTTTCACTGCCTGCAGACAATGGGAACAGGGAGGGCAGCGGCATAACAGTGGTGGTGGGGAGGAGAGTGACGTGGGGGGTGACATGGATAGACAGGAGCAGCAGTTCCTCTCTCAGACCTCGAGTTTTACGCTCTTAAATTTTCCTTTCTGCCACTGCCTTTGAGCGTAGACTCCCTGCTCTTCTGAATCCCCTGACCACCTTCACATCTCTTTGCTGCTACATCCCTAGTTCTCACCCACTCTCCTCCCGCCCTTAGGTGCATTGCTGTTATTCCCTGGTTCTTCTGGGATTCCCTAAATCCCTCTTTCTCTCCTGATGTGCAGTTGAAGGGCGAGGTGTTTGTGGGCAGCAAAGAGAATGGCTATAGCGTCCAGAAGGGATTGCCTTCAGGGACACAGGGCAACTTCTCTTGGCACTATGGCCTCACCATTGTCACCCCCGACCGGGAATACCTCTTCACCTGCGAGACGGAGACTGACCAGCTGGACTGGATCGCAGCCTTCACTAGTGTCATCAACCAGGCCATGACACCACAGGAATATGCAAGTAAGTGCCTGGATGCTGTTTCCTTCCCCTTCTGCCACTCCTGTTCAGGGTATTGCCCTAATGCATCACCTTTTTCCTTCACTCCAGTTGAAGCCTACTTCAAGTTTAAATCCTAGGAAGCCATGCGGGAACCTCGCTGTGACTCGACTCTGCGTGGTCCTGTTGGGTGCCCTATCAGGAGAGGAGAGGAGATTGACATCAAAGAAACACAGTGCTCTTGAAGCACCCTTTGAAGCACTTTTTTTTTTCCCCATAGATGGTCCACTTTGTTCTGGGGGCCAAATTAAGCTGCTTCCTTTGAAGCGCAAGACTTTGTGAGTCTGAATCCTCAGTGCAACCTGTCACTGTTAAGTTGCTGTGATCTGACTGGATGCTGGCAGGCCTTGCCTGTCGATCGGGTCTTGAATACTTGGCACTTGCTATCTTGGACATGGGACCTAGCGTCTCTCCTGCATGAAACTGCAGACAGCCACCTACCCTACACAAGAAAACAGCTGCCTGCCTGGAGCTATGCCTCAGCAGGTTGCAGGGGCTGCTGGACTAGGAGAGACAAGAAATGGCTTCTCTGCTGGCAACGGAGATGTGAAACGTCTAGATATTTTATCAGTTAGAGCTGTAGTTGAGAAAGGTCAGTTAAAAGATGCAGTCTAACAGCCAAATGTGAGGCCTATTTCCTCCTGCCGTGTGTGGGCTTGAAAGCTTCTTCAGACCACATTTGTGTGGAGACCTTCCTCTGATTGCTACAGAGAATGTTAAGAGATCTGCTCAAAAACAATATGTGTGTGTGTATTTGTGTGTATATAGACAATGTGTGTGTATCCACATAACAAAAAGTGGTAGGAGGTGGAATACTACCCTAGGGAAGATACTGTGAGGGATATTCATGCCATTGAAATTCAGCTGTCAAATCTGAGTCTCTAGTCAAACCAATGGAGAGAGCTTGGGTCTGGCAGAGAGCAGCCAGTGGCGTGTCTGATACTGACTTTGGAGTCTCTGTTGACTTTACTAGAGTGTAGGGGTTGATGTCTGAAGTTAACTAATGCATGGATCTCTGCTCCCTCACTCTCTCTAGCCCTGGGACTTCCATTCTGCCCTATACATTACATATGTATACATTGTATATTACGTACGCATACAATTTTATGCAGTAGTAGGAAGTGTGTATGTTCATGTCCTTGTAGTAACAGTTAGCCCTAACCGCTAAATCAACCCATGATTCATATCTTAAAGATCATCTCTTAAATCTCTCCTGGGAGAGCTGTGTTTCACATGCTGGAAGGACCAGCTGGGTTCTGCTGATGACTGTAGAATCTGATGTGTCTGCAGTTTTATGCAGGCAGTGTGAGAGCAGGCATCTAGTGTGTTAAGGGGAGATAACTGGAATTAATGAGGCAACCAGTATTTTAATTAGCTTCTAAAGAAATGAATTAAAAAATCTGACTATAAGTTATTTTTACTTCCTAAACAAACTGAGCTGCTCACTGCTAAGGCGTGAGGTCATTCCTTGAAAAAAAGCACAGACAATCGGAGCAAGGAGCCATGGCTATTGATTGCATTTCCCAGGGCATGTGGACAGTGTATCTTCCCATCAGACCCAAGTGGGCAAAGTCTTCATCCCCCACTGCTTCTCTGGAGGCCCCTCTCTGTGCTGAGACCACCACAAACTTTTCGGACCATCAACTTCTGGGATGAGAAGCAGCACCACTCATCCTGCTGCCATGGCACGGTGGGGCTTTCCACCCAAAAGTGTATTTTCACTGCAGTTTGCTGATCTCTCCCAGTTTGGAGCACGACCGTCCTAAAAACCGAAGGCTGTTACAAAGCTTATGTTCCAAAACAAAGTGCCTTTCGGTTCTGATAACGTGAAAATGGGGCAGTCCATTAAAAAAACCCTCAAGCCCCATCTAAACAACCTGCACATTCAGTTCTCGGGTGAAGAGTAGAGAGTGTGACCCAGCCATGCCAAGAGCTGATACAGGTAACCCAGAAGGAGGCCTCTGAAGTTCCCTCCATCAAAGTCATACGTGCCATACACTCACTCCTGTGGCACGGTTGTGCTGAAGCTGTTGCATGCAACTTGTTGCTCTGGAAGGTGCTTGGGTCCTACTGCAGCAAGTGCAGTAATGGTGGGATGCTTTCTTCTCCTGTTTGCTGCCAAGTTATTGCTACTGGAGATGAGTGGAGGCATCTAGCTCAGCCACAATGAAGCTAATACATCAAGGATGCAAAAGAGCATGGCTGGAGTGGCCTGAAAACCCCCGAGAACTAACAGCAGAGTGTGTTTGGTAATGGCACGTGTGTTGCTGCTCTGCAACTTCTGTCCTGCTGTCTGTTCCCTGCGACGAATGAGGCTCAGATGTGGGCGAAGAAGGAGCGTGGTAGTGTTGGGTGTAGAAGCATGGGGACATAGGTGTCGTGCAGTGATGCCCCGCTAGAAGGCGATGGTGCCTGCCTGACAGGCTTCTGCTCACGGCTCTGGGGTGAGGCAGCAAGTCCTGGGGGTTCGAGGGAAGGAGGGGGAAAGCTTACAGAACGGGGATGGTCTTTGAGCAGAGGGAGGAAAGGGGGGGGCGTTTCTAAAACACCCTTTGAGTCTTTAGGAGCTTGATGCTGCTGGGGGCAGGGCCAGGTCATAGCCAATGTGAGATGTCCTACTACCTGGTGGGCTTGCTTGCAAAACCAGAGGCTACATCCATTGTCTATACCTCAAGGGCCCCTGATGTCCTTGGAAGGGAGTGGGGGAACAGGGCCTCTCAGCCCAGCTTGGCTAAGGGGCAAGGAGAACAGTGTGGCAGCTCCTGGTCTACTGCACTTTCAGGGCTGGCCCTTGTTTCCCTTCTAAAGCCACAGCGTGATGCTTTTCCCCTCCCTTGCCACATTAGGGAGTCTTGTCTTTCAGTTATTTCCTCTCAAATGAGGACAACTGTGCAAGGGGTAGTGGGAAAAAAAAAAAGGGAAACAAGAACAAGATGGAAGAGGGAGCAGGAGGAAGGTGCAGGAAGACACAGGGGAGGAAAGCGTGGCTGCAAGAAAAGGAGGGAGCCAGCATGGCTCCTCAGCTAGCAGCTAAGGGGCCAGTATAAACTGGGACTGTGTTCACACTGGTGTGTGAAGCTGTGAGTCAGACACATTCCTCTGTGCAGTGGGCAAGGCGACTCCAGGGGCTGGTTCAGGGGGGTAGAACCCACCTCTCCAGCGTCTGTCTGAGCTGAGAGGACACAGACTTCAGAGGAGAAATCCACTTGTCCACCAAGTCTGCTGGTTTTTGTGGGCCCAGCGAACGCTGAAGAAGCAACAAATGAGGACCTGGTGAAGAGCAGAGACGTTTCCTCCTGGCTGGCAGAGGTTATTTTGCACCTGTTGGTCTTGAAGAGGAGGGCAGTGTCCCTTTCTCAGCCCTTTGATGGTTAGGGGAAACCGCTGGACAGAGCTTGTGATGGACAAGATCAGCAAAATGGACTGGGCAGCTGGAGGTGAGGAATAGACTTCTCTACAGTACCCTGTGTCTGATGAACTCTTGCCATTCTTCCCTCTTGTGTTAAGGCTAACCGTGTCCCACACAGCGAGGGGGGGAAGGCAGGGTGAAGGAACGGGTCTCTGACAGCCTGACTTGCTCTTGCTCGCCTTACGCAAAGATGTCTTATGACCCTTCCTTCATCAGTTCAGGGCATGAAGAGGATCCCGAGGGTGGCAGCTTCTTGGAGGAAAGCAGCGGTGGGGGTGATGACAGTAGTGTCCTGGGAGGGGACAGCCCGGTCACGGGGCCGCTGGGTGCAGTGCTGCTGGTCATGTGCCTCGCTGGGATGGTGGGGAACATCTACACCGTGGTGGTGGCCTCCGGCAGGGTGACGGGCCGTTCGGCGGGCTCCTTGGGGGTCTACGTGATCAACCTTGCCCTGGCTGACCTCCTGTACCTCTCCACCATCCCCTTTGTGGTCTGCACCTACTTCGCCCATGACTGGTTCTTTGGGGATGTAGGCTGCAGGCTTCTGCTCAGCCTGGACCTCCTCACCATGCACGCCAGCATCTTCCTCCTGACCGCCATGAGCCTGGAGAGGTACTGGGCGGTGGCCAGGCCGCTGCAGGCCAGGCGGTCCGGCAACACTTC